AGGCACACACCATCTGAGTCCTGATAGATCAGCCCTTAGGTGGCGTGCTGCGTAATCCCACATCATCAAGTCGGTTGGTGAAGTGGGCCGTAGAATTGACACAATATGGGATTGAGTATCATCCCCGACCATCCATCAAGGGACAGGCTTTGCTAGACTTCATAGTCGAGTGTACCACCGAGGAAATTAAGAAGACACCGTCCTCGCCAGGCAGCGGGGGCGAATGGTGGGAATTACACGTGGACGGAGCAGCAAGCAGTCAACATTACGGGGGCGGATTCATGCTAATCACACCCGAAGGGTTTCGATTGTATTATGCCTTGGAATACCAATTCAAGGTTTCCAATAACAAAGTCGAATACAAGGCCGTGTTGGGTGGCATCTAGCTCGCGAAGACCTTGGGAGCCAACCAGCTGCGTGTCAAGACCGACTTCCGCCTCGTGGTAGGACAGGTTTCCGGAACCTGCAAGGTAAAGAATGAATGGCTGTCACAATACAAAGGAAAGACTAAAGAACTCTTATGGGGGTTCGCCGCTCATGAAATTGAGCACATCCCAAGGGCGAAAAAAACTGAGGCAGACATACTGTCGAAAATTGCTCTGGGGGAATACCAGACCACCTGTTGAAGATCTGTCAGAAAGAGGAGGTGCATCAACCGAGTATCTGTGAATCCATGGACGAAGTCCAGCAGGTGGCGGTCGGAAGCTGGGATCGCGATAATCATCCAGAGATGTTTTGGATCGAGGACATCCGAAACTATAAGGAAAAGGGGGAGTTACCCGACGACCCTACTGTCGCTGCCCGGGTCAGACGGAAAGCCCCTTCCTTCGACATTGTAGATGGTCGATTGTACAAAAAATCATTCAGAGGCCCTCTTTTAAAATGTTTGCTAAGGCCAGAAGCGGAGAAAACAATGGACGAGGCACATCGGGGATATGCGCGGCCCACCAAGGCGCCCATACATCGGGGATATGCGCGGCCCATACCCTCGCTCGAAAATTAGCCCACAATGATGCGAGACTGCGTATTTTATTTATTATCTTTAGCTATGTATAATTTAGCCATGTGTGGCTAAATTCCATTAAGGATTCTTGGATAAAAAGTGTTAATGAACCTATGTGCCTGTACTCTCAAATTCTTTAATTTATTATTATTTGGGTTTTAAACTTGTGTTGCAATTGTGTTTTTTTTATTGTCGTTGCGAGTAGTTCATGGCCTGGATTACATGTTTCATTTCTTTGTTTATGTCATAACGGGAGTTACGCATAATTGAGAGTTCACACAATTGCACTTAACATTTGCACCTTGGGAAAAGGGCATATTTGTTAGCGAGTTTAATTCTTGACTATTGCACATCGGGGGAGATGGTAGTAGTTAGGGATTATTTATGAATGCTTGTTCTTGTTCTTATTAGGTGTTTATACCACGTGAGTGGATATTCACTAGTGTTTAGTGACTACGGGAGTAGCTCTATACCACCTTGCTTCCTCACACTCGTTTAAACCCAGATTTAATATTACATTAGGTTAGGCACTAGGGGATTAAACATTTGAATCCCAGGAATCTCATTCTCTCTCTATTGTTTTCAAAACCCTGAATCATTGCTTTATTTTATTTATTTAATGCAACTATCCAAGTCAATCATTAAGATTAGCTTCATAGAATAAATTAGTAGCTAGTGCTTAATACAACCACTTCCCTGTGGATCGATAACCTGATACTCCAGGTATTTATTTGGTTCAAAATATACTGCAATTACTATGAAGCAAGTAATTTGGACCCTAAACTACTAGTAACAACAATATAAAACACAATTGCAACAGAAGTAAAACCCATATAATAATATATTAAAGCATTAAAGAACTAGGCACATAGGTTCATAGGTTCATAAATACTTTTACCCAAGAATCTCTAAAGAAAACTTAGCCACACATGGCTAAGATGCAATACATATCAATAATTAAGAGTTTACAAAATAATCTAAAGCGTACAAGAATTAACCAAGCTATTCTCCCAAATCTCATTGGCTTTCTTCTTGCTTCCCAAGACACTTTGTAGCTCTCAATTCTCATCTTTCTTGTCTCCAAAACTGAGCATTCCTCTAGGGTTGAACCAAGGCGGAATTTTATAGTGGGACTCAAACCGAGGCAAAATCGGAATTCTCTTTAGATCTTTTGGAAATTACCAACTTTAATCTTTTGGAATTATTGCCCCTTTAATTATTGGAAAATCAGCGCCTCCCTTTTATTTCACAAATACAGCCGCTCCTTTCTTTCACAAATACAGCCGCTCCTTTCTTTCACAAATAAACGCCACTCGACACCTCGAGTTAGGCGAGAATTTTCTACGGTATTTTTCTGGACCGACTTGACGTGTCGAGTCCACTGATCGCGAACCTCAATGTTTTTGGAATTTTTGGACTCATCGTGTCCGATTCTCGTTGCGTCCAATCCCCTGTAGCAGCACCTTTGGTCCATTTTGACTCCAAAATTGTCCTAGCACTTTCCTTGCTCTTGTACTTGACCTAAAATGGTTCCAAAATACTCACAAACACGGTAAAACATTCAAAACAAGTATAAATCATATCAAAATAATAAAACAAGGGAATATGCAATTAAATGTACCAATTTCATGAAATTGAACCCAACAAATATTATCAAATGAACACTAGAAACATGTACAATTTGACTCACATCAGGCCTACTCCAAAAACACAAGTCAATTCATCCATTCACAGCAAGAAATATACACAATCTTCATCAAACACACTCCAACATTCCAAATCAATACACACTAATCACAACATTGCGACTGGAGAACAATCCTAACCCTAGATGTTTTAGCCATAAATGATCTTGGATTGCAACAATCTCAAATTGAAGAATAGCATTATGAAATAAAGGAATTGAGTTTTCAAAAAAAAATTAAGGAATTGAAAGATCAAGCAAGAAATTGTTACCAAACTTCAATCAAAGAGGATTACAATAATCAAAGTAAGGAAGAACAAGCTCTAGATCAGATTGCAAAGTTTGGCAATCCTTCAACCTAGATCCTCCTCCTTCTTGAGCTTAGAGAGAGTTGTGAGAGCTAAAATATCTAGAGAGAGAAAGTGAAAGCTGAAGAGTGATGAAAAATATCTAAAAGTCTCTTCTAAATATGAAAAATCTAATATTTAAAGACAATTCTTGCGCTAAAATTTCATCGCGCCCCCAGTCATGATGGCTGCCACGATCGTGGCTGGTGCCACTTATGCCTCCGGGCTCTGGTCACGATTGTGGCGGCCCTGGTGGCGGTCCCAGGTTTTTTTCCACACCCGCCACCACGATCTTGGTGTGGATCCTGCTGCTCCCTTCTTCCGTACTCTTCCAAGGATGTTTCGTTTCATGCTCCTATGCCACTCTTCTTACCCAAGGGTTATCCAAAACACTAGAATTCACATGTTAGAGGACTTTACAATGCATAATCAACATTTCATCGCTTATTTCTTGTAAATCAAGCACAAGTGTTCTTAATTCAGCACAAAATGTACACAAATTGACCCTAAAAAGTACGGAGTATCATCTTTTGACACTTACAAAAATTATTTCCAAGGAATACGTTGGATGAGAATAACTTTATAGGAAAAATTATTTAATATGTTTAGTGTTATCCTAGAAACATTACAATTAAATTACGTAGAAATTTAATTAACATGTTTGGTTTTTTTAAATTTCTCTAGAAAAACTATTATAATCGCAAATATATCTTTTTTTTTGTGCGCGGTAATATATCCTTTGTTTTATACAAACATAAAAATAAAAAATAAAAAAAAAACATAACAAATAATTGAGAGTTTAATAAATTACTTGTAAATTAATAAACTATGCAAAAAAGAAAAAAAAAAAAAAAAAAAAAAAAAAAAAAAAAAAAAAAAAAAAAAAACAATCTCACACACAAAATTTTTTTTTAAAAAAAAAAAACGCTTTTACGATCGCAAGTATGCTTACGTATTAGTAATGTTAACATTTGCACTGCTGAAAATCCCACTATTTTCGAAAAATGGGGGTCATTGGTCAGAAAACGGGTTTCCGAACAACATTTCGATCAAAACGAAGATCCGAGAAAATGAACATCGGTAATATCGTCCAACATCAGATGTTGGATGGAATGTCCGTCCAATGTGTCAAAGTTGGACGAAAATTCTGAATCGTAACCCACCATTTTTAGAATGGGAATTTTCATCCAACTTTGACCTGTTGGACGGAAATTCTGGGTGGTAACTCACCGTTCTTAGAATGAGAATTTCCGTCCAACTTTGACTCATTGGACAAAAATTTCATATGGTAACCCACATTTCTTAGAATGGGAATTTCCGCCCAACTTTGACTCGATGGACGGAAATTTCGACCAACCTGTTGGTCGGAAACATTGACCAAGGATTGGCAGAAAAATTTATATTTATATAAATTATTTTTATCATTTTGATCTTGCTATTATTTTGCTTTACCTGTTGTCAATACATTTTATATCATCAACAAAGTAATGTACACAATATCTAAATTCAAAATGAAAATATTTAATTATCAAAATTATTTACAGCAAAAAGATAGTATCGTGTGCATAAATATTTAAGTAGTGAACTATTGCCATACACACAAAAAAGTCATAAAAACATGAAGTTCTTAATCTCTTGTGTTTCATCATTTTGTGAGCTAAAGTTGTTGTTCAAGTTTAAAGAACTGAACAACTCAGGATTTGCACTGAATTGTGCAAATATAGCACCCATCTTTTGAAGTTCTTCTAGGATAAACTTGTTTTCTTCTCGAAACGTTTTGTTTTCTTCCCTAATTTGTTGAATTTCTGCTACCAAAGCTGCATTTGAAGATAATGCTCCAACCTGAGATTTTGATTTCTTTGAAGCTTCAGGAAAATAATGTTGCGTATCCGAGCCAAAGCCATATACATAGCATCCCCTCTTTACACCACCGGTGGCCTCCAACTTAAACTCTGCATCTGATACATCAATCTGAGTCTGTCGCAATTCATTCATTGTATCCTATAAAATAAAACAAAGTACTTTCATCTACTAAAATAATTCAATGTTACACTTTAAATAGAGGTTTTATTAGAAATATTTCTTACCACAACTTTTTGAGCTTTTGGACAAACATATGCTCCATCTCCATTTTTCCTTTTATGAGTGTGTTGATACAAGTCTGCAAGACTTGTATCTTTTCCAAGCTTTTCTTTCTATTCAAGAATAATACATCATATTTAGTATAATGTTATAAGGTAAGCTATTTTAATTTTTTTTCAAACTTACAAGTCTTCGATGATGTCCAGTCATCGGAATAGAACCACAACTACGAAGCGATGAACCTTGTTCTCCAAAATTTGAATTTCTATTACTCTTGTTTTTTTTCCGAGAGCTTTTTGAAATCCTCATTCTCCAAAATGCGGACTAAGTCATCTAACACATCATCAACAATCCAACATGGTTTGGTTTTGTTGTCTGGCAAGCCCATGCGAACCTCTCGCATATGGTCTGTAAGGAGCTTTACACCTCTTTTCTCAAAGATGCGGCGTAGAATATTCTCCTCTAGTGGATCCCATCTATAATTTTTCTATAATCATCAAAACTCTAAATTAGCAAACACAAGTAATGAGATTTGTACAAATAGTTCCAAGTAAATATTCTCATTTCAGTATATTTCATAAAAATTGTATTGTTACTAATGCAGATACTGTATTGTTAATGCAGAAAAGCCATCAGAACACAAACCTAGTCTGACATTACGAGGATCTGCTACGAAGTTAGGATATTGGCTATCAAAGTGTTTCCGTGCCTCACCATCAGAAGGATGACACATAACACCTGGTTGGCGACAATTTTCATAATGTCATCTCATGTGCTCAGTAGAACTAAGTGATGCATACAATCATTGTAACCTAGGGATTAGAGGGAAGTAATGCATCCTTTTCTTGGGCACTTCTTTCCCACGAGTACAATTAGGTGGACGTGGTTTAAAACGAGGCTCACCACAAAATTTACATTGTCTATCATTGATACCATACATTGTTGAATATTGATTGCGTGTATGCGAACCAACCTGGACAAACAACAATGATTCGGCAATTTAAAAGCATTTGCGACCAGGGTATCGCATGCTCTCGACAGGAAACACAGATACGCTATGAACATATGAGTTTAGAGTTTCTCACGTAGAAAGAAGGATTTCAGCTTATTCTTTATGGAATAATGGAGTGTGTTTATATACTAGAAGTATGAACGCACTCCTTCATTGCCATCCAGTGAAGAGCTACAAAGAGGGAGAGCAAAAATAGGACCACCACTCACATCCACGCACGTTCACTAGTTGAAGATTAGTGTGCGGACAAGGTGGTCAAAACTCCTTAAAATTAGGAGTTAAAAAAAGATGTGAGGAACAAAATGTTGAACACACCACACCTTGTTTCCTCTTCATAATACTTCAAGCCTTTTAATTTGAGTGGTAGTTTAAATAGTGAGAGATAGTGAGATAGATAAGCAATGTGGGACAAAGCTTAACACTTAAATGTTCCCAACAGACATATAGTATAACATGCAGCTATTAACATAACAATCAATTTTCTCATGAGCAAGACGAAGCTTTCAGATCAATTTATCTGAATCGTAATACCTAGACGGTACTCAATTATCTGGACCCATTATATGCTTATTCTACTCAAATATTTGATCCATTGCTAGCTGCGGAATGTTAAAGGTTGCCTTTATATTCATCATCTTAAGCGCATATGACAACTCTGTTTCCTCAGCACAAGTAGGGATAAAGGTTGCTTAGCAGTGCTTAATAAATCATAAAAGTTTTTTGCACTTGGATGTCGATTTTATTCTTGGTTACTATGCACATTAAATGGAATAAATTATGAACCGCATACATCAAATACCATTGTTTCATACTGATTATTTTCATTACATATCTCTAGAAATTGTTCATTTACTGTGGGAATATGAAAACCGTGACACGTCCATACCTAATAATACTGTTCAAATCCCTTCTTATACATGTGAACATGGACTTCATCAGCATATAAGTGTACTTTATTCTTGCATTTACTACATGGACACCTAACTGTATTTGTCAACTTGTATACTGGAAGTGTGCATGCATAATTAACAAATTCCTCAACACCAGCTAAAAACTCATCATTCTATCATCTCTTTCCATGCAACAATCGATTATACATCCATTTTCGATGTTCTGCTATAGTATCCATATATGGCTAGTATAAAAATACAAATATCTCAAAATCACAAAAATAATATATATAACAACACTTTATTTTAAATTTGCAAGTGTTATATATATATATATATATATATATATATATATATATATATATATATATATAACCACAATAAAGGATTTTATATAATAACATTGCAATTGTATATCCATATATACTACACAAACACAAATACAAATTAAAAGCTATTATTTTTAACTCATATCTGAATTTGGAATATATTTTGTCGAAAATAACTCTAAAATGTTTTCACTCGTGCTAATTTCGAACAAAGAAGCAAATTTTACAATGGAGAAGAGAGTAAAAATGGAGGAAAATTCGTTGAAGAAAATGAGCTAAAATACGTAATGAAAGCTTTAATATTCAAATTTTCATCCAACAAAATGTTGGACGGTAATTAATAATACCTACCAGTTTACATTTCACATACCGGTCAATTCGGTTTTCCGTCCAACGCTTAACTGTTGGACAGAAATTCTAACCAACATTTAGTGTCTGTCGGAAATTCCGTCTAACATGCGACAGTTGGACAAAATTTCCGTCCAACATACCGTCCACTTCTATTTGCGACGGAATGTTGTGATTTTTTACAAATTGCCGACCAACATTACTGTTAGATGGAAATAGCGAAATTTCCAGCAGTGTTGGCTTTTTTGCCGGCTTTAGAATTTGAAATGAGAAAAATAAAGTTGAATAGCTTTGCACCTCGAGGTGCATAATTTTGCACCTTGGGTGCCTAACTTTGCACCTTAGGAATAAATTGTAATTGATTTTGATATGACAAATTGTATGTGTAGAACACTGATTTTATTTGGTTTAAGTCTAGTTGAGTCTTAGACCATGAACGGGAAATTATTAATTAAGTAGTAAAAGAGAAAAACAGAAGAGGAAGACGTATGAAAAATGGAAGAAGATATCAAGCCTAAAATCAAGAATTTGTCTAGTGAAAATGGCAAATAGAAGAAGATGTATGCATTTGAAGATGTATGCATATGAACTTCACGCGGATGCCATACTCAGAAAGAATTCCCAGAAGAAAATTAAAAGATATACACGACTTGAAGATTGCATGAATTTGACTTAGAGATCAAGCATCTATAGAAAGAAAGGAGTACATCAAAGAAGATTGAAAATATAACCAAATGACCGTACATATGGATTGGAAGATATCTGATATATTATACCCAATGACTCAAGTTCGAATCAAGGGATGTGAACCACTTTAGAGACAGATAAAGAACGCATGTGATAAACACTAGAATATCTTATAACGGACAAATTATTGAGATCGTCTTTTTCCAAACCAGTTATATAAGGAGGAAAGCAAGAGAAGAGGTCAAAAATACAGAGCTAAACAGAGCATACGAATCACAAAGAGCTTTCCGAGAAATCATTCAAGAGTGTTAAATCTTCATCACAAGAGACTAGTCTCAAAGTTGGAATCAAGAGAAAACTTATTTTTTACAAACAAGTGACATCCCTACTGGAGTGTAGGAAGGAGACTGTCACAAAGAAGTGTGAAGTCTTGCAGAAGGGAAAGTAGCATGGAGTTGTGAAATCCAAGTTGTAGTTCTACCGGAGAGTAGAAGTCGGGGGGAAAGTAACACGGAGTTGTGAAATCCTGGAAAGTAGCACGAAGTTGTGAAATCCGAACTGTAGTTCTACCGGAGTGTAGAAAGGGGAGGAAAGTAACATGGAGACAAGAAATCCTGTAGTAGTGTTGTAGGCACTGGGAAAGGGCGTGATTAGTGCGGGCTTGGTGATCAAAGCACTAAATCACGGAATTCATTGTATCTTGGAACCAAGAAGTGGTATAAGAGCAAGTGGAGTAGGAGGATTACATCACCTCTGAACCACTATAATAGTCTTGTGTTCTTTAATGCTTTATTTACTTACTGCTTCTTGTTTGCTTCTCACGTGGATATACGTGACACAATCACACAACACTTATTTTATTATTCCGTTGTGCACAAGACTCTTACAATGTAGTTAAGAGTCTTGATTTCTCTGTTGCCTTAGCAATTGTTGTAATTTGTGAAAACGGTTTAAAAGTCTATACTATTCACCCCCTCCCTCTAGACTTTTACCATACCTCTTTTGGGACCAACAATAACCCCACTCATTTTAAAAAATTGTAATACATATGAAAATGACCACGCTCATTTTTTACTTGATTTCTTATTCATAAGATCTTACAGATCAATGGTTTGAATTTGTTTATAAGTTATCACCTAGGGAGTGGTTCTCATATGATTAAATTTATATGTGTGTGTGTACATATATATATATATATAGTTAATTCCATTTTTTGTATCCTTGATTTATAGGTGACAGTCTATTTTAAGTTTTTTTTTATTATTATCAAAATATTCACTTTTGATCATAGTATTATTGTGGCATAACCATTTTTGACCTTGTATCAACAAAATAGTTTAAATATCATTAAATATAAGGATATTTCGGTCTTCAATTATAGATTTTTTCAAAAAAAAAAAATATATAGTAGTTCAACCTACTTTGTAATTTTGTATTAAAAAAAATTAAAATATCTTTGTATTTAATGACATTTCAACGATTTTGTTAATAGAGGACTAAAATTGGTCACGCCACAATAATACTAGAACCAAATGAGAATGTTCTAATAAAAAAGAATTAAAAGTAGATTGTCACCTATAAATCTAGGATAAAAAATGGAATTGACTATATATATATATATATATATATATATATATATATATATATATATATATATATATATATATATATATATATATAGGGGTGTTCAATCGGTTAACCGAACCGTTTTAACCAAACCGAATTAATCGAATTTTTTTTTTTCTTTAACCATTAACCGAACCGAAGTTTGCTCTACCGAATTCACCGAACCGAAATTTTTTTCGGTTAATCGGTCGGTTAGCCGATTAACAGAACTTTTTAAAGCTAAAATTTAAAATTCTAAAAATAACACCCAAAATAATAAATTCAATTAAAATAAAATACATATCATAATAAATTCATAACAGAATATAAAAAACATGAATTTTAAACTCCAAACATCCATA